TGCTTTAACTTTTGGTAGAATGCCGACTTGTGTCGTCTTAAGTCAATGCTAACTTTCGCTGTATCACAAAAGTTAATGCTGAAGCCCGCCTGTGTTGTTTCCTTCTTCTCTTAGTCTGGTACTCTCTGACGTCCTTTAATTACTTTTTGTCGGGTATTCCGACTAGGGGCTTAGTACTCGATGGCAAATAGCGGTCAAAACACAATGTAAGCTGAAAAACCAAAAAGGATTTTTTTAAATGGATTTATAGCTTCAATATATGTTAAAAATTAAGCCTAATATGCCATAAAAATGCACAAGAAATAAATGAAACATCAGTGGTTACAATAAGTACGGAGAGTTACTTAAACCTTACTCTGGCCACTCACCTAGTTGCAACCAGGAGGTGTGAATTTAAACTGGTTGTGCGAAAACACTAATTCTGACACATCAAATGGTATCATTCTTCCAAGAGCTAAATAAGGTGTAAAGAACATAGCACGCATTAACCGAGTTGAAATTAATTAATATAACATGATTTAATTTCAGATTTTATAATTACTGAAGGATCAATTTAACGCAGTCAAGAAACGTTGTCAGCTCCAATTGTCTTATTTTCTATTGTAGCGGTAGATGTTAATAAACCACAGCCGTCATCACTCATAATGGATGCTGACCTTCACTATTTAAGTCTACTGAAGGCTATTGGCCATGCATCCACGCCATCTGACATGCCGTCGTGTTACGTTCGTTAATTTTTGCACAACCATAGCTAACTAAGCAGTCAACATCACACTACGAATTTGATCCGAAATATACTTCGTATTTTGAACGAGCAATCTGATGTTCTCAATTTTCTTTGGTTCACGTAGAACAAATACTATAGGGGTTGTGTGTTTAGCAGTTTGCCTTAGTATACGTCGTACTTTCGGTAAACTTAGATGCACCGTCAACCCTAAATCGTTAAGCACAACCGCGAGCTTTGTCTTCTTTGGTAAACACTCAAAAAATCCAGTGAGTCCATTCCATTTTTAATATTTGTTCTTGCGTTATTTTTAATACACCTTAAAGCTTATCTTCAGTGAGTGACAGTACGCCTAGGCTCATCCGTATCCAACTACCTAGCGCCCCTATTCACCTCATGCCATTTGGGCCATTTAATGTAGAAACACGGTTTCTGTTAGCCAAGTCTAACTTTTGTTAACATGAAACCACTGGCCGAAGTCCATGGTTCCTTGCAGGATACATGCTTCATCGCTTAAAGTGAATAAGTGCTTTGCTGTCTAAATGTTTTGCCTGGAGGTAAGCAATAACCATATGAGATGCCTAAAGCAGCCATCCTTAAGACAGAAGCTCTCTCGGATAGGCAACGTCTTGATGAAATGTTTCTCAATGACGAGCCTGGCGATGATATAGCTGTACATGCACTTGGATGAGTGCAAGAATTTATCGGCCAACTTCACTTCAATGAGTGACTCCTTAAAAGTTGTTCCTACCCAAACTGGCATAGCCAATACGGCGTTTTCCGCGTTTTCCATTATCAATGGAAAAAGTCCTCCCTAGTGTAGAAACTCAGGCAAGTGGTCGAAATTTCAAGCGTATCCAGAAAAGAACCCCAACTGGTATGTGTAACATAACACCTACAGCCAGGAAAAAAAGTAACCGAAAACCACCTACCAGTGGAGGTGAACACTGAACGTTTGTTTTTGAAACTGGTAGCTATTGGTGGGCAATTCAAAGGCGCGAATGGTTCGATCGTGTACAAGTTCGAAGAAGATGACCAAAACGAATAAAAGTACTTCACGATTTTGTATAAAACATTTGTTTATAGACTTTTACTGTTCTCCGCTTTAATTGCCAAACGATATAACTTCCTTCTTACAATACTGGTTTTCTGGAGTTAAAGTCGAAGGAAGTACATAGTCTTATCGGTGCGGAGCGTCTTCGTAACAATAGGAACTTAGGGATAATTTCTCTGAGAGTGTCTCTCATGGATTCGATTGAACCTACGGGCGTTTTCACAACATCTAATATTAGATGGTAGTTGGTTTCAAAGAGTGAAATATTAAATGGTAAACAATCCGCGCTAATGGATTTTCCGTGGGTAGCCACCTTGACAAGGTAGTCGTGGTTTCGCAGTTGATATGGTCTAATATTTTCCCACGTTATGGATGTAGCAATGTTTCCTAATGACTTTGAAGAGTAGAAATAAGTTGCACTTCACTCTCCTTAACCACAGAGGCTCTTATTTCAGACGTACACACCTGTCAGCATATTCCACTCGTTGGTCAAACCCTATTATGCGTTTTGTGAGGAATCTCTGAACACTTTCGGTTTTTTCTGTCTACAGACCTGAGGTTGCTAAATAGGAGAGCACAACATTCAAGTTTGGGACGGATACATGTCCTACATATAGCTAATCTTGCTTCTTGGGTGTAGAAGTTACGCAGTACAAAGCCAGTAAGTCGTTTACAGTCAGATACAACCTTATTTGCATGATCGGAAAAGGATAAATCTGAGTATGTTATCCCGAGATCTGTGACTGTGTTCAGTTTTGAGAGGAGCTTACCGTACATATATGGGCACATTATCGGTTTCCAGCGTCCAAGGTGGGTTATACCGCACTTGTCTGGGTTGAAAGTCAGTCGCCATTTTTCTCTCCAATCGCCTAGATCGTTTAAGTCTTGTTAGATCTTGCTTTCGACGCTCATATCACCGTACCCATAATCATATACTATCTTGAGATCATCTGAAAAGAAGTGTGGCTTGCCATACTTGATTACAGAGACTATGCCATTTATAAATAAGAGGAACAGAATAGGGCCAAGAACACTACCTTGTATTACACCACTGGTTATCGGCTTTGAGGAAGACAGCTGGTGGTTGATTTTGACTAAGCGCTATCTTTCTGTGAGAAAAGAACTCATCCATTTGAGAAGCTTTCCGGTTATTCCGTAGGATTGGAGTTTTGTTAGGAGTCTGATATGTGGGACTTTATCGAAGGCCTTGCTAACGTCGAGAAACAATGTTGTTACCGAACGCCCATTATCAATGCTTTGTGTAATGTAGTCAAAATAATCTAAGTGGCAAGTTATGCACGACCTTCTACTTAAGAAACCGTATTGGGATGGGGATAGTAAGTCATTTTACAGCAAGTACTGAATGATTTGAGTCTTTACTATCTTTTCCATTACACGTGAAACTACAGACGTGATGTTGATGGGGCGGTAGTTGTTAATATCAGCTATAGGCCCATATTTATGGATGGGTACAATATAAGACTTCTTCCAGCAGTTAGGGTATGTCCCATCGCTTAATGAAATTGAGTATAACCTAAGTAAGAGTAAATTCATGTCATTACCACCATTTTTCAGCAGAACGGAAGATGTACCGTCTGGACCAATAGTGTTACTAAGCTTAAGATTTGCGACAGCTTTATCGATTTCATGTGTGGTGAAAATTATGTCACTTAAACATTCGTCTGTTTTACGTGGGAAATCCACGACCTCATCGTTCTCTAAGGTGTATAATCTGGCGAAGTGCTTGCTAAACAGTTCACATATCGCCTCATTATTTTCGTAAGCTATGCCGTCTAAGTATATTATTTTCGGATAGGGTGTTTTGGAGTTCGTCAACCTACTTTTAAAAGTTTGGCTATTTCTCCTGTGTTATTCGGTGCCTGAATGTCCCGCATTTCTTTGTTTTTGAGGCCTATATTTCTCAACTCTTCAGTTCTATTGAGAAGGGACGCAGTAGCAATTGGTGATGATAAGTCATGATATCTGTAGTATTTTATTGAGTGCTTTCGTAGACTTCTCCTCAACGACGTCGGAATATAATCGCTTTGGGGGAAACTGAAGCTAAAAATCTTCGCAAGTGCATCATAAGTTTAGTTTTTTATGGTTGCACATGTAAAGACAATTGCATAAAGATTTTTTCAGTGATGCCTTTTACTTGTTAATAATAATAATAGTATATTCTCATTTTGTACATGAGGGACGCCAGTTTACAGGCATCATCAATATGATAAATTAGATATGATAAATTACATGTTATTCTTCGTATTTTTATGTATACATTTGTTCAACCGAGTCATGAGTACACTCCCGAAATATCAAATAGTTCTTAGAATGTTTACACTGTGCCTAATATTTGCCCTGCTACTTAATTATAGCCTGTGGGAGAGGTCTGTGGTTAGTAATTAGTCTGTTCTGGTGATCCGCAGTGCACGGGAAATCTATGCTGGGTGGGGACAAGAGTGACTGAAAACGAATATGTTCATGTGTTAAATTTTGGTGTTTGTGGATCATTGAGTAGACCATAGATACCCCTAATCTTAATATGGATATGCGGAAGGACGGTAAAAATGAGCAGATAATGAGTGATCACTGACCCTTGAGGATATAATTTGCTGCAAATCAAACTTGCCATACATACAGCTCAGTATACCTGCATAGGGTAAACATGACTTAAACTTGCTCAAATAGTTGAGTTTGATTTATATGCTTAGAGGAATACTGTTATTACATGAAACGTTACTTCTGTTTGTTTCAAGTGTTATATCAGAGTTTCCACACAGCTGGAATATGTACTCTTGCTTTTGATATAATGTGTGCAAGAATACTTCATGATACCTACTTTCTTCACCCTCCTTGAATATCAGAAATGCTTCAGATTGCGGCTTATCACCTCAAACCTCAGATCTTTCTGTACCATCACCAGAATCATTCATTTTCAAAATCGACTCTGCCAAGGCAATGAATAAATCCATACAGCATATGGAGACCTTTGGAAGACTCGTTTGGAGTCATTGGAGTTCCTACAGGCCGTATTCATGTACTGACCAATAGGTTTGCACCCGCAGCGACTTATTCATAATTTCATACTATGAGGCGTCTTCGCACTTTCTCAGGCTGGTTTCTTGGGATTTATTCACTACCAGATGTGTTTACTTATCGGTGAGATGTTTAACAGCTACCCAAATGTTCATTTTTTTCTCTGTGTCTTCCGATTGAAAATTGAATTTCAACCCTGAAAATATATAAACGTGTAACCTTGACCAAGGTTTGATGTTTCATTTTTGTGAATTAAAAGATCCATCGTAACTAGAATAATATGATGGTTGTATAAGTAAGTTCTTATGCGAACTTACAAAAATTTTTGCGATCCACTTTTTTCGTCCCTTTGGAAAGTTTATATAATTGAATTTAATTATGGCTATAGCTGAATTTGAGCTTTATATGCACTTCTTCTGCCCAGAGTTCTGTCGGCTGGGCCATTTGCGAGTATATACACCAAAGTTATGACCAGTATTTCATAAATGATGTTACTATATAAAATTACTGAAAGTCTATTAGGTCAGGTCTTCTATTATTCACGATGTTGGTTAGTTACTTTTTGGGAGAAATTCACTTATTTCTGAGTGGTTAGTAGTAAGTTATATGAGTAACACAAATGTAATGTGCATCTAGTCGATTTGTCAGAAAAATGAGGAAAATTATTATCCATTGATAACATGGAGAAGTGACCGAACCCAAGTAAATTAGATAGTCAGGATAGTCTTCCAACGTTGGAAGAAAGCATAACTAAATCTCGACTATGTAGATGATGTCATATCGTCTGCAATTTAGTAATTCAGACTCCAGCTAGTAAAGTCTTTGAGATCACGTCTGTGAGATTGTCGCACTAGTGGAACGAAACCCTGATATTCGGGAAATTTTCGCACTGCATTCTACTTCCGCCCCAAAGTTTCTCAGTGAGTTCGAGGCCAATGCTAGCTGGGAATTTCTCTATAATCAACCCATGCACATTCCATGGAAGGTTAATACTTGGATTAGTGGCTTGAAGTAACAAGTTTCCCTATAACTATCTGACTTCATATCAGAAAACACATTGGTCTATATGTGAAAGAAACATTTTCTCAGAATAATCTGCACATCCGATATTAAATTACCTAAAGTAAAGGTAATTAGCAATCTGCTATCTGTGTTGAACAAAGTTGTGGTACTGATCGCAATTCAAAAAACCAAAGTACAGTAAACTAGTTGACTGGCTTCAGCGTAGAACCTTTCATAGAAGTGCAGATGTTCAACTTGCCACCCTCCATTTAGCATGTAAAGGAAGACAAAATAAAGGAAAGAGAGCTTCACAGGAAAGACACTGGACAGATATATGAGGGAGAAAAGAGTAGCAACTCGGAAAACCAAGAGTTTAGTGAATATGGGAGATCATAAAGAGTGAATGCCTCTGCATCAGTGAAAACGATTTGGGGCTATATCACCAATTGTCTCCAGCCTAAACTGGCGCTTATTATCCCGAGAACAACTAGGTGGTTTTCACCTCCTTACATGGTTCAAACTAACTGTCAAAGATTTCGTGGACTGATTCCAAGTTTTGGATTGACCACCACTAGTCCAACTTGGTCCTTGGCTGACACTGACAGTCAAGGGAGGCGATGGCCAGGCATCCATAACACATATCCTAGCTATCCCAATCAATTCAACTTCTTACCTCATCGATAGGCTTTGCTCCTTACCCAACACTCGACGCCTCATCTCAATATTATTCAACCTATTATACCACCTAACGCGAGAGATAAAACGCAGGCATCTGTGATCAAACACAACTAGCCAAGCTTTTCTTGTCTTCCACTTTCAATGGCCAGGTCTCACATCCGTAAAGGAGGAAAAAACAAAACTGTGAGCAGTACACACGTCCTTTGATCCATAGCTGGATAGTTGGATATAGATCTTTTGAAAGTGCTCCGAACGTAGAATCTGTATATGTATTAAAACAAGTGTCTTCGGATTCTTATAGGTTATGAAGTTCTCATATATTGTCTGAATTGGGCAAAAAAGCATGGTCACCTAGAATTTTATAATTAATATCCTATTTTGTGTGCATAGTTTCACTTCTTCACTTGATCTAAGTTATGTGTAAAAGCTGTAAAAGTTTGCTACAAAATTCACAATGGATTTAATTTCAGTTTGTTTGTCTTGCATAACTGACAACTGTGGTAAATGATTTTTGGCTAGGGCCTGGCAACACTCAGTATGATAGTCTTTTTTACACAGATGTTTTGTTCATTCTCCTGTATTTTTAGATTGTGTTAACGCAAAGATCTTGTAAGACCTGTTCACTGTTATACCCAATATGCCAATTTGATTCCCAATAAAGTTGTGGTGCATTCAATAAAAATGTCAATAACAAATAACTTGATCAAATTTCGAAATCAGGATTATTGTGTTTTGAAAAAGGAGCAGCTAAACAGAGGAGTGAAGTTTGTTGATGATGAATTCCCTGTAGAAGCGATGCATCTGGAAGGTCTTAATACACCTGCTGGTGCTTTAAGCTTCTTGAGACCTTCTGAAATTGTCTCAACTCCATGTTTCAGTAGAAATGAGTCTTACTTTAGTCTCAGGAGAGGCTTTATCAAGAATTTCAATATTCTTCTTGCATTTACTGGTCTGAAATATAATCAAAAGCACTGGTCTAAAGTAAGTTTATAATGAGAATGTAAGAGCTAATAATAATAATAGGTACTTGTAGATTTAAAATCTCAAGAATGGGATGTTGATCATGTGAATGAACATCCTGGGATTTTTCGCTTTCGATTCTGGCAAGAAGGCACGTCATTCGAAGTAGTAATCGATGATTTACTGCCTTGCTATGAAGGAAAGTGTATATGCTTGTCATCTTCTAGCGCTGCAGAATTCTGGCCAGCCCTTTTAGAAAAAGCTTATGCCAAGTGAGTTAAGAAAAGGTTTACATTGCTTCTAAAAACTGCCATCCATTTTTTGTAGCCCACGAGTCGGTTGCACCGTTGATATGGAAGTTGGCAGTTCTGTGCCAATAGAAATCTGCTGTGTTCATAACATTCTCTTTACCGGTTTTTAACAATTATCTTCCCCCTCTAGTTTTTCTCACTGGCTAAATCCTACTAGGTAAAATTTTAGTAGGATTAGTAACATGTCAGTGAGGCGATGTAAAATATTGGAATATCTCCCAAAATGCTGTTTATCATCGTAAGATGTGTTACTTTTTGTTATGCCCACTTCATTCAGCAACACGCGTTCGTCTTTGAAACCCAAATTGTTTTTACGGATTTCGAATGTAAATCCGACTAATTGCGTTTTGTTTTTAGTTTTTCTGGCGTAGCATCTCCAAGGAACAGGATTTCTTAGCTAATATAACTTCGGTAGGTCATTATGATAGCTATACCTCTCCGTTTTACCTTACGGTCAGGATGTCTAGTTAAGTACTGCGTGCTGGTAGTGCTTCTTTGAAACAAGCAGGCTCACGTCTCCTTGTTGAGAAGAATAAGGATAAAGCCTTCATGTGGTCGTTTAAGTTGGTGGTATATGAAGAAACATACCATACAGGAAATCATAGTAAACTTATCTCAGTTGATTTTTACTTACTTTTTTCGACTGACTGATGCTTTTTATATAATAATGCACACCAAGAAGTAATTTAGAAACCAACTTCAACACTACGGAATGCCCCGAAGTTTTATCAGCCTCATCAAACATCTGCATGGCAATGCCGCATGTCAAGTGATCCACAACGTAGTACCCAGTAAAACCTTTGAAGTGAATGAATACAGAAGTCAGACAAGCTGGCTGCCTACTATCCCGGGTGCTATTCCTAATTGTGAAGGATTCGGTTATGTGCCAGACTGTGGAGAGCAAGAAGACAAGAATACATTAGACTGATTGGAAGGCTCTAGATTTGGACTTCGTGGATAATTCGTATGATTCAGGTGAAAACCAACAGGTTAACGGGGGAGGCAGGCAGTGAAGACAGGACTTCAAGTGAATGAACACAGAGAAAACGGAGGTAATGAAGACACCCAACTAGCAACAACACCAACAAGCACCAATCACTACCGACGGGAGGCATTTGAAAGAGGTTACTTCCTTCACTTAACTAGTCATCATCGTTTCAATTACAGGTGTCAACACGGATGAAGTAGCAGAATATATGAGTTTATAAGTTCGACAACAAGCCAGGATAACAATACTGACTGAACCTGTTTCTTTTGCATACAGAGCGAATTGCATGGCTTCTGCTGTTCACAGTGTTCGGTATCTAGAGATCTTTGGTAATTTATTCGATACCCAATGGATCATAGAGAAGGACTCTTCAATCAATGCTAGGTTTATGGCCTGTTTGTGCGAGGTGATCTGATATAGAACCGTTGATGGTTTTAACAATACTTCTATTTTTCACACTGGTAGGTGTCCCCAAGCATGAAAAATTAATTTCCTAGATCAACGGTCAATATAACTGGTTGCACAGGAGCAGTCAATTTGGTGAGACTTTATTACTGAACCCCAGTGGGTGCATACTGCCGATGATTCTCAAACTAGGATGAAACAGCTGTGCAGCACACTGCTGGTTTTCAATGGTTCTATAACTAATATTAATCCGTGATCAACTCGTGAAAAACAAAACTAACCCTTACAAACCAAACTGTAGAAATAGACTTCTCCAAGCCTTCGACTGAGTTAGCAGTCCTTGATTTAGATATAGCTTTGGGGATTTCATTTTTATGCTTTATCTCTTGTGTTAGAGTCTCACTCTTCCTAATTTCTTGTGAACAAAGAGACAGTATCATGATTCTTTACATTAACTGTGGTGCTCAGTGTACTGCACAATCTTGTACGACGTTTTCAATTGCAGAATTGTTTGTCCGTGAAGACTCATTCACTTGGATGTACAAATACATCAATAACAATGAGATGCTCACTAGCGAATTGCCCTATTCAGGTAGGTAGTCACCTGGGGTTCTAGTGAGAAGTCGTGACCAGTAGGGTACAGCAGGTCGGGTGTGAGGACAAATACTCGCCGAAGACATTGGCTAGGGGTCGCGATATGTCGTGAATTGACAGAAGTTAGAATTAATGGGATGGCCATTGTATCGGGTCCAGGTCGCTTAATGATATACGAGCTTGCGTTGTAACCAGAAGGTCCTGGGTTCAAATCCCGGTGGGTGCATACTTCTGAAGAGTCCCAAACTAGGACGAAACAGCCGTCCAGTAATCCCTGAAGGTTTTCCAATGTTTCTCTAACTTCAGCTCATGATGAAGTCATGAAACATGGATTAGTCCTTTGTCTTTAATATCCATAAATAAGTTCTCCTTGAATATTTTTAAACTACGAATTAAAATTTCATATCATTTCCTCTCTGTCTCTTTTCTTAATATGACTGCTCTTAGACTATTAGGTGGATATGATAAGTTGGAACATATTCGACTAGAGGAGATTATGATGGATTTGACTGGTGGTGTAACAGAGTCGATCGGTCTACATAATCTCTCTTCTGCTCCAGCTATGAAACAAGTTCTATTCTTTGAACGAATGGAACAAGACTTAATCGATGATTGTATAATAATATTTTGTACAAATGTAAGTTTCTAGTGTTGTTGTTGTTATTGTTGTTGTCAAGCAATAATTTAAACAAAGCCTTCTAGTATTTGATGACCATTGTCTTCGTCGTATGGTTCAGGCTTAGGGAGAGTTAGAAATGATGCTTTAGATAAAACCGTTTTATTATTATTATTGTTCCCTTGGGTTCCTAATGGAACATAGGGCTTCAACTGAACGTCTCCACTTGCTTCTGTCCTCTCCTGTACTTTTCACCTGCACCCATGTTAGTCCATACTGTTTCAACTCCTCTTCACTCGACCTCCTCCATGCCACCCTCTCGCTGACGTCCCACTCGCCGCTTTTCTTTTGGCCTGGTTCCACTCGAGCAATGGCCTGACGCGCGCGCGATGTCACCCAGCGACCTCCTCAGCCAGCGAGTGTCCAATCCATCTACACTTTCTCCTGTATATTTGTTGGTTGGCGATTGGTTCTTGTTTCGTTTGTTCCCATAGTTTCTTGTTGGTGATTCTTTCCGGTAAAACAGTCTAGTAAAATGCAAACCTCAATCAATTAAAGTATAGCTGGAGCAACTTCTGAAGACTGAATCACTGTATGTTATAGCAGAACAAACAGCAAAAGCAGGTCTTCAAGTGAACACGGTGAAAATGGCGGTGATGAAGATAACCAACCAACCAACAACAAATACAACCACAAAAAGCCTCAATCACTACCAATAGGAGAGATTTGAACGACTTCACCTCCTTCACTAATCTAGGCAGCATCGTTTCAATTAGAGGCTGTACAGATGTGGATATCGAAGCCAACCAGAATCGGAAAGTTAAGGCGGACCTTTATCACTATGAAATCAGTCTGTAAATCTTATGAACTCAGCAGTAAGAACGAAATTCTTATTTTCAACTCTAATGTCAAGTTAGTCACTTGTTCCTTCATGGATCAGAAACTTGATATGTGAATCACGTAAACAATTTGCAACAGGTTACATCAGAATTCTATCAACACCTGCCTTCATTGGCTCCATACTGAAGATCAGATGGCCGGCGAAAAACTCTGTCTGTCAACAAACCAATCAAGAAGCTATTGCACAATAAACATTCTGGAGAAAATTGGGATGAATCGGATGGATATACTCTTAGGAGACCGTTGAATGACATCGAACACCAGGTCATAGCTCGAGTGGGACAAGAAAGGTAAACGACGAGTTCGGTAAGGGTCCAAGGCTTAAATGGAGGAGGTCTTATGATGAGGAGGTGAGAGCCTATGGTCAATCGGGGACCCAGCTGAAGAGGACTTCGGAAACCAAGGTGGAATGGAGATGTGTTGTTAAAGCCTTATGTACTCCCCTCAGAACCCAAGAGAATGATAATAATATAACTAGTATAACATGATGAATGAAAGTAAAAAATAAATTTCTACATAATATATTTGAAAACTATAAAATTATCTCCGTATAGGTAATCACATATAAGCTATCCGCCCCCCCCCCCCTCCCCAGATGTAGCCTGGCATCATACTCAACGTATTATTATTCTATTTAAGTACGCTTTATTGTCTCCTGCTTTCCAACGGTGTTACAACTTTAATTCGATGCAATCATCTTCACGGCTGTGCATTGTTCCACTTTTTCTATGTACAGTGCATAATAAGGCGGGAAAAATAGTGCTTTCTCGGCATAATAAATCAGTTAGTTAATCCAGTTTAGCCTTCAAAAATGTTAAATCTGATTGTATATACACACCTTTAATAAAGTACCAGAATAAAACGGTGATTTGAAAGAATCAGGAACAACAGTTTTGTACAGAATAAGATGGTAACTATCATCATTTATTTCGTTGACTTCTCATCAGCTGTTGCCTACAGCTTAAAAAAAGTATTAAGTTTATGTACAGAACAATTTTAACATACTTGCAAATGTTGCATAATGTAAGTTATTGAAAGAAGACGCCAAACTTAATGAGCACTGCTCAGAAATTACACCTATATACCTTATACACAGAAGGTTCAAGTTTAAACAAAAAGAAATAGATGCTCGGTTCCGATAGGCAAGGAGTTGTGGAATAAAGGCAAGAGGGGAGTAAGGTCATGAGTAATTAATGCGTTGAGTAACAACATGGTGAGTTCGAGTAGAATCATAGAAATAAGAGACAAGCAAAGTTATGTTATGACACAAAGAGGAAGAGGTCAAAGCCAGTGATTACGCAATCAGAAGAAAGAGACTGAGAGTTGAGACATTCACTTACTAGGGCAGGGAAAGACTGATATTAATTTAGTGATAATCTTCTGGCCATATGCATATTGTTTCAATCCCCAAAAGGTGAAACTTTTATTACAACTAATTTTTAAGAAAAATCTATTTGACTTGTCTTCTTCCCACAGGCCAATGAACAGCATGTTGACTCGGTTGATGAGTCGTTGCCTCAAGTTTTTGGTGCGCCTAATCCTCATGATTATATACCTGACAAAGAGTCTGGACTCTGTTTAAATTATGGTTATTTATTGACAAGAGTTTGTGCAGTTCCAAAGGATCTTAGTGTTTTTGCCGCTTTCAAGGATATATTTCGACGTGCTGGTGATTGTCCTATACAAGCTCGTTTAATGCGTCTGCGTTGTCCTTTGACTATGGTTGATGGTGGCTGTGGTCAAGGTGAATGGAAAGGACCCTACAGTTCAGCTTCCAGTGTATGTTTTTTTCTCTCTATTTCTCTTCTGCTATTATTCGATAATTTGTGATATTTGTAAGCGTTGATAATTTGTCATAGAGTTTCACTTTATTTGTGTTATTTTATTAGCTAATGTTTTCAAATTATTAATCCCTTGAGTTCCGAGTGGAACATAGGGTTTCAGCAACACATCTCGGCTGTTTTCTTGTTATTAGCACTCCACAACTACCATAAGCTCTCATCTCCTCCCACACGATCTCTTCCATGTCACCCTCTGAAGTCCACCTCGTTGTTCACCTTTCATTCGGGTTCCAGTCGAACGATAGCCTAGTGCACAATATCACTCAACACTCTCCTCAGCGTGGATGTGTGAACTGTCTTTGGTGACTTTTTTTCTCTTTAAAAGTTAGTGATTTACTAATTTTTCACTACCATACATTGAGTTTAGATGCCTGACTTTCGTAACAATTTGTTTGTCTGTCCGTCTGTCTTCGACATAGAACTTTGCACCGATGTGCAAAAGTCCAACTCGCCACACTCCCTCCATGTACCACATAAAGCAACAGAAGAAAGTAGAAGAAATGCATAATACAGACAGTAAACAGAGGTGTGAGACAAAGGAATAGTAATAACGAAGAAGAATATAGTTTCATTGGAAATCATAAGTCACAAGGAGTGGATGCATCTACACCAGCCAGCTATTGAGAACAATTTTGAACCGTATCACCAGTTGTTTTCAGCCATTATTTTTCACCGTCCCGAGGACCCCAACCAGCCAGTTAGGAAGTCTACACCTTCCTAGATGATTGGCTTAAACTAACTGTTGTGGATTTCATTGACTGGTGACATGTTTTGGTTTGACCGCCAATAGCTAGCTCTTTTCTAGCCTGACCCTATATCAGCTTACGTTGCCCGTCCAGGAAGGCGATGACTAGGGATGCATACGTAACACATGTCCTAACCATCTCAGTCGATGTAATTTCACAGCCTCGTCGATTGATTTCCCCTCCCACCTACCTAGCACTCGACGGAAGCCTAACTGCAATGTTGCTCACCTTATTATACCAGTGAACACGGGAGATAGAACTCAGGCACCTATGGTCAAAAACAACTAGCCAGGCTTTTCATGTCTTCCACTCTCAGTAGCCAGGTCTCACAGCTGGCCATAAAGGAGGACGGAGCGGACTGCTGAGCAGAACATCTTCCGCTTGGTCGATAGCCGGATATCACGTCTACACCAGAGACGGCCTATACTGGCATATGCAAAACTAGCCCTCTGTATCCGTGCTGAGATTTCGTCAGAGATCAACCCGTTGGGGCTGGCTGATGGTACTTCCCAAATAAGTGAAGCGGTCAACATGCTCTACGAATTCACTCCCTTTTCCTAAACTAGGAGTCAGTGTAGTATAGTCTTGTCACATCATCTTACATTTGGCGGGAGCGAATTACATGCCAAAGACTCACAGACTGCTGCCCATCAAGGTGTTCAAAAGACTGCATTTTGTCAGCATCCTCGCCTTGAAGGACTATATCGTCTGCATATTCTAAGTCAACGAGATAATTCCTTGATGGTAGCAAGTCAATCCCTGTGTCTCTGAAGTGAGTTAGGGTTAAATTATTAGTACATCTATGATGAAATGGGGATAATGGGCATCCCTGATGGACACCACTAGTCGTTACCAGTTCAGATGACAACTCGCCGTAAGCCCTCACCTGGCTGCATGAGTTCGAGTAGAGTGCCTTGATCAGTGAAATGTATTTTCTCGGCGTTCCCTCTACAGCTAAGCATCGCCAGAGAACCTCTCGGTCGACAGAATCGAATCCGTCTTCAGGTCAAGAAATGTAATGATTGTTGGACGGTTTAGGCTACTCACTGCCGAACAGTCTCAAAATAGGACAAAACGACTGTTCAGTACTCCCTGGTTTTCACTGATCCCTCTAAAAGATGTTGGTTCGTGACGAAATCTAACAATCATGGTTACTTTTTAATTGTTTGTATACCTTTGTAGCGAGATACAATGAATTTTTTTAAATTTCAGATATAAGATTTCTTTATGCTTACATTGTGTCTAGTTCAAGTCATCGAGTATTTATTAATTTATGTCTAGTTGTGGTGAGAGCAGACTGCTAGCCAATTGGTAGACATTAATCGACGCTGATTGGTAGACATTAATCTGGCTGATTCAACAACCAATCACAGCAGACTTAAACATGGGCAAATATCATTCGCAGATAAATGGCTCTACTTTCCGAGAAATATCGAAAACAACCAATCAGGAGACTGTGTTTGTCTGCTTAGCTTCCGAGAAACAACCAGTTAGAAGGCTGCCTTTTTCCGCTTGCATAAGCCTTATTCATGTACATAAAATATGTATAAATACGCGTTGATTTTCGTAATAAAACGATCTGTTGCCTGGCCCTTGTCTTCTGTTGTTACATTTGGTGTCGCTGCCTCCAGAAAAATGAAGATCCCGTGGCCAACTGCGTTTGAAGAAGGAGATATACGGACTCTGAACTGCTTTTAGCTGCTGACCACTTCGTTACTGTAACAGAAGAGTATACGTTTGACTTGGTTAATTGGCGATTAGCCTTTTAATATCGAATCAAAACTATGCAAAGAACGCTTATGATCAAAGAATCTCTCAAAAGTCCTTATTGACAACTCCATTCTTGATCACATTTTGCAGCTGTCAGATTGCATGTTTGTGTACAATCAATTACCACTTAGGCGAATGAATTAGGATGTTGTTAAATAACTTTGACTACAAACATGTGAGTCACATGCCCAGGGTCATTCCATGTTTTCCAATCTTATACCGTGGCTTATATCAGATCACATACTGCAGACGTTTGGCCTACAGTTGGTCTCTAGTACACAAACCTAACCACCATTAATAAATCATACAAAACGATAGCTTTTTTTCTACAGTTGGTTTGTAAGGATTAGTTTTGTTTTTATGAATTAATCACGGATTGATATCAGAGTGCGTACTGCCGATGATTCCCAAACTAGGAGGAAACAGCTGTCCAGTACTCTCTGTTGGTTTTCAATACTTCTCTAACTGATGTCAATCCATGATCAACTCGTAACAACAAAACTAATCCTTACAAACCAACTCTTGAAAATTAATCTGATGCTCGCTAGTCATTCGCTACTGGACGGAGAAGTTCTAGTGAGAAGTCGTGACCAGTGAGGTCCATTCAATCCGGGAGTGAGGATGGATTTCCCACTGACGACATTGGTTGGGGTCGCACTAAATCATGAATTGGTAGAAGTTAGAATTCATGGACTGGCGATTGAATCAGTTCCCAGTGGCTGATGAATGGTATACGAACTTGCCTTGTAGTCGGAAGGTCCTGGGTTCGAACCCCCTGTGGTGGGTTCGTACTGTCGATGATTCCCAAACTAGGAGAATTGTTTTTTACTCATTATTCACAATGATTTTAGGATGTTTTATTTTGGATTACAATCCTAGTCAATAATTGATGTGGTGACATGAAAAGTATTCAAAGGGTAATTGGTAATATATATTGAGACTACTGGATGAGTTGGTTTATGTCTTTCGCGTAGTTGTAAAAGTCTAGGCGAACAAGAACATAGAATGGTAGGTATTTTCTGTAATAGTGTAACAACAGAAAACAAGGGTCAGGCAACAGATCGTTTATTTAAGAAATCAACACATATTTATAGATTTTCATATACATTATTATAGATTATTGTAAACAAACAAACAGTCTTCTGATTGGTGGTTTCTCACTGAACGTTAATCTTTCATCTCTTTGTGACCGTTTCTTGAAGTTCAGATTATCTATCTGCAAACTGTATCCGCCTGTGAAAAGTCTGTGGTGGTTGGTTGTTGGGTCAGTCTTTGTTCTTATTTTTCTCATGACCAATATTGGGGAAGTAAACATTGACGTAAATTGCTGTCTACCACTTTTGGCTAGCGACCAAACTATAATTAAGAGGTAATAGAGAAGATTTGTAGCTCAGGTGGATGGTTTGCAATTAATAATGTTCTCTGAGCTGGTTGGTTTAGTTGCGGAGCTTTCGTCGTCCCCCTGCTGGACAACATCTTCTGCGCAATATTTAGCATAAAGTGAAATGATTTAAATTTCTTCATGGGTGATATAATTGCGTCTCCCGGTAACCATCTTTACATATGTATTGACCGTTTTCTATTGACTTGGATTTTAAACTTTCTCGTCACTTGATTTACTTTTTATTAGTTGGTAGATTGATCTATATTAACGTGTTTGTTAATTGCATTTTCGTTTGAGTACCAGGCTTCTAGGAATTCCCTGACTGCACTTTTTGTGTTTCCTCAATCTAAGATTTTGACATTATCCCAATCAAATTGATGCCCATAATTGTCTATATGCATTGATATGAAAGAGTATATATTGTGTCTTTTCACGGCTGATTTGTGTTCTTGGATTCTAATTCGAAGGGGACGCCCACTTTGGGCGATGTAATGCCTGTTACAGTTCATACAATTTATTTTGTAAATGGTATTAATTTAATCCCCTCGAAGGGTTTTCGGGTGGTTATTAGACTAAAAGCAGTTACTGTCATAGTGTAATCTGTATGCGAAGTCGTACTTCTGGGGAATAAGGATTTCATAGCAGTCAGGTGTTTTTCCCTTAGATGACAAGCTTGCCACGTCGTATACTGCCTCTACGCCCTAAACGCTGGGGTGGCTAGAAAAAGTTGACCCCAGAAATTGTACATTCCGAGTTACCTTACAGCGGCAAGTAGCCAACGGTAAGATCTTAGTATGGCTGCAGTTCAAATAGGCCGTGTGTGTGACCGGCCTCAAGCAGTTGTCCCATATGCCCTGTGGTCATGCCACACTAATCCTGTTTCATGTAATAATGATAACCTTTTGTGATTGAGAAGTCCTACTGGGAGAAATGAAGTATCTAACTATTATCTGGAACTCTTTGGAGACCGTTGAGCGACATCGGTGACCCCAGGCCATTACTGGAGTGGAACCCGAGTGGGAAATGACAATTCGGGTTTGGGTCTGAGGGGTGAAATACGGAGAAGATCGTGTGCGGAGGAGGAGTTGAAAGATTATGGATACTCGTGGAGACGGCTGAAGAGGACTGCAGAGAACAGGAAAAAATGGAGATGTATTGTCGAAGCTCTGTGTTCCACTTAGAATCCAAGGGAATAACAATGATAATCAATACGGTAGTTTGGTCAACAGTATTTTTTATTCCTTCACGTTCCCAATAGAACATAAGGCTTCAAACTACAAGCTTAAAGTTCCTGTAGCAGTGTTTATTTTTACAGGATGGGGTCGCTAGCCCCATGCCCAACCTTTTCTCTTTGCCAGTTTTATTTCTAGCTTAGCGAGGTAAACGAGTGCGTCAGTGGCCAGGGATAGAACCCCGAACCATGTGCATTGTCGGCGAGAGTCCTAACCGCTGTGCCACACCGACGCACAACTCATACTTCTTCATTATTCTAAACTGAAAAATTATTTCCGAATAACTTTGTTAATCAGGATTGTTGTTTTCTTTTTCTACCACCATATTTTCAATCTTTATCAGGAATGGGATGAAATAAACTTGGAAGCACGTAAACGCTTAGGATTAACTTTTGACTCAGAAACAGAATTTTGGATGCCACTTGAATCTGTTCTAGAGCATATGAGTGGTGTATTAACATGTCGTTTCCCCGATACTAGTTTAGTCAGTCTAACTGGACGTCCAACTTGGCGTTTATATGAACATCATGGAGCTTGGTATGGTCATCAAACTGGTGGAAGTTTACAATTTAGAAAAACCTTTTTAAATAATCCTCAAGTAAGTTTTATAAAGTGAAATAATTACTTTTTTAATATTTTTCATTTGAACAAAGCAAGAACTACAGTTTTAGCCAGAATAAAGTGATACAATTTTTTATTTCGTTGTCTTCTCGTCAGCTGCTTACAGGACAAAAACATTATTAAATATATCTACAAAAACAGTTTTAACATACTTGCACAGAGTTTATTTTAAACAAAAATCAACCGATCAATATACGCATACACTAATATATATATATATATATATATATATATATATATATATATTAAACACTATTCCGAACAACAATAATAATCATACACAATGGAAACTGTTCAGCATTTCTCATTCGGATGAAAGAGAGAGGAAAAATATCCAGTTACCAGGGCAAAGGAAGACTTATAACCGCTTCTTTCTAGACGCATAAATCAGTTTTCACGCGGTTGACCGAAATGGCTTTAGCAAACTTGAGTAGAATTGAGCTCTTTTGCCTGTTGATAATTTTGAACTACTTTTCGACGGCCACCTCATGACCAGTGTCGAGGGAGGTGACTGGCGATAGCACTGTCTAAAGGATTTGTTCCCTTTAGACACAAGCTTTTTTGGTACATGTTCAGAAGATCGTAGATATGCCCTTCTTTCTGTTCTTCCAATGTAACTGCTCCCGCAGATACATGTACTTTTCATTTGTCATAATCTACCCTAATGAAGATAATGTTTAAAAGACTGGGGATTAAGGTTAACGGAAAACTAAGACTGACTAGACTTGTAAAGTTACTGTACGCGGAGCGTTTGATTGAAGCGTTTGATTATGTTAGAGAAGTTTATGCCTCCTGCTTGTGTGATTCATTATACAATCAAAATATTCAATTGTGAATTCTTGGTGGTGGTGGTAGTGGTGCTTGCATGTATTATTCATACCCCATATGTGCTCAAGTTAATTATTTTGTGATTATTCACCAATTCTTGATCTGTGTGTTCAAATACTCACATAAAATATGACAACTTTGGCTGCTGAACAGTTCCATTTTATTCATATCTAACTCTCTACTGCTAAACTAATTATTCCTCATAGTTGGTTTGTGAGGATTAGTTTTGTTTTGTACGAGTTGATCACGGATTGATATCAGTTAAGAGGACCATTGAAAACCAGCAGAGAATACTAGACAACCAGCTGTTTCATCTAGTTTGGGAATCATCGGCAGTACGCACCCACCACAGGGTGTTCAAACCCAGTTTGAACCTGTTTTTAGTCACTGATAACCATAGGAATGTAGCTCATCCAAGAAACCAGCTGATACAGGCCGTGTATGACCGGCCTCAAGCAGTTGTCCCCTCGGCTCTGCGGTCATGCAACACTAACCCTCCCGCTCGAGCGGGACATGCTTCTCTCTGTTCGAAAGTGGGAAGACTTCGCCAAAAGGCAAGGATCCAACACTAACCCTCTTCTTGTTTCAGGTGCCCGAAGCTCATTATGCTGCTTCCCAGACTCGTGGGTGATCAGACTTCAAGTCAAAGACTTGAGGGGAGGAAGAGTGGCCCCCTCCCATTAAGACAAAATCACCTGTTTCTGTCTGAGCGTCCTGACACTATTCCAGCTCTTGAACAAACTATGAGGTTTTTTTTGACGAGCATTTCTTGGTGTCCATAATTTACTCAATTTATGTATTAATAATAATAATAACTAATTGATTAAATATTACAACTCTTTTTTGTTATATCTATTCTTGATTTTCTTTTTTCAGTATTATTTTGATATTACAAATGATTCAGATGAAGTTCTGTTGTCACTTGTTCGTAAATATAATCGTGATCCACTAACTATGGTTATAGAACCAGATTTAAGCGTATTATCTGTTGGTTTAGGCCTATTTAAGGTGAGTAAATCATATTTCTATAAAATGTTAAATAAAATTTAATATCATACAGTTCACTATTAGGGTGGTGGTCAACAGATATATTAATATGTATTGTAATAATAATAATAATAATGATCAACCTTGATCAGAATTGTAACAGTTCAAATGCCTAGAAATAAACTTAGCAAAATTAATCTGATGCTCTCTAGTGACTTGCTGGCGACAGGATGAACTGACCTGGAGTTCTAGTGAGAAGTCGTCACTAGTGAGGTCCATGCGGTCGGAAGTGAGGACAAATACTCCATTGATAAAGTTGGCTGGCAGTCGACCTGTAATCACGAGTTAGTAGAACTTGAAATTCCATGGGCTATTGGATCGAATCTCAGTGGCTGAATGGCATAAAAGCTTGCCTCATAATGAGAAGGTTCTGCGTTCAAACCCTGGTATCAGGGGGTGGGGTACTGATGAAAAAAAGTCACAGACAAGGAACAAACAGCTTACCAGAACTCCCTGGTCCTCTAATTGATATCAGCTTGCAATCAATCTTGAAATAGATCAAATCTATACAAACTAACTCTTGAAAAATAATCAAAATCTTGGACTTTAGATTTCTGAATACTCTTCACTTATCTTCAAGTGATTATTCCCCCACCTCCGCACTTGTGGTTCTTTTTAATTTTAATATTATTCTGGTCTTGTTTTTTCTTTTCGTGAGGTTTTTAGAGACAGTGTTCTTCTCTGTAAAATGTTTACATCGACTCATCAGTCAACCAACCCTTACAGTAAAAGCTATGGTGCAGCAGGACATGTGTACTGAGCAACATTTCTCTCTGTCCTCCTTTGTGACTGTGAGACACAGCCATTGGAAGTCTCTGTCTGGATTCAACATAGAACTTGGCACCGAAGTGCAGCAGTTCGAGTTGCCACGTTCCAAATAACACACAAAGGTAGACAAGAAGATGAGTGAAGAGAATCAATACAGTCTGACAAGTATAGAGTGAAACAGAATGGGTAATGGTAGAGAGGAATATGAAAGATTACAGAGACTGAATACATCTGCGCTGGCCATTGACAACGATTTTGAGCCATGTCACCTATTGTCTCCAGCCATTGATTCCTAGAGTCCCGAGGGCCCCAACCCGACGGATGTCTGCATCTCCCTACCTGACTGACTCAGTTTAACTGTCAAGGATTTCATGGATTGATGAGGCCATGTCTTTGTTTGGCCACCACTTAATCTTTTCCAACCTGCACCACCTATATCAGCTAGTATTCGCTCGTCGGCGGGGGAGGCGATGGTTAGGCATGCTCAGCACGTGACCTAGCCATCTTAGTCTATGTAACTTTATAGCCTCGTCGATTGATTTTCCCTCTTTGCCCAACACTCTACGCCTAACGTCAACATTAATTACCTTATTATACTACCTAACGTGAGAAAGAGATCGTGACATACAACTCCCGTATTTTGTGAGCGAGTTCATTTTATATTTAACACATCATCTGTACAGTGTAACCGAGATTACCATCCTATAGGTTGATAATTTTATTTCCAGAGTTGACTAACAAGAAGTGATTTTTATTGACACGGTAAAGTTTTCTTATTTGTCAGTCGTCAAGAGTCACTTCCAGTTTGTTTTGTCATGAAATACCACTGATTTTGATCCAGAAAAATATACACATACTTCTTGTCAGTTTATGATATTGTTTTTTCTCAAGAAATATTTTGTAAGGATTTGATTTGTTTTGTATTTTACCACGGACTGATATCAGTTAGAGAACCATTGAAAACCATGTCGGGTCCGAGGACAAATACCCTCCAATGACACTGGTTGGTGATCGCGCTAACATCACGAAATGTTAGAAGTTTGAACATGAAATCGGATCCGAGTGGCTGAAAAGTGTACGAGGTTGGTTTGTAATCAGAATATCGTGGGTTCGAACTCCGTGGGTGTGGGTTCTGATGAAGAGCCCCCAAAAAGGACGAAACAACTATCCATCAGTCCTTGGTTTTCTTAATGATGTCAGTTCATGATGAAATCCTCAAACCAATCAAACAAAATTCCTACAAATCCAATACTTGGAAACCTTTTTTTGTTCAAGTTTGTAGTATTCTTGACTTCTGTTGCCCAAAACTATTTTCTATTCAAATGCATAGTTTTTAAAAAGTAAGCGCATTTGTCAAGTTGAATATTCCAGTCTGATTTAGTTGTTACACTTTTATGCAAAAGTTATTTTATATTTTTTGAATTCGCAACCATATTTTATATATATATATATATATATATCAGTTTTTCAAAGTTTCGATTCTATATCTTCCAATTAGATTGAGAAAAACCGTCCTGTGAAAGCACATACAGTATCCTTCTGTCAGGTGATTCATGTAGAACCGTGTCGACCATATCGAGTTTGTCTTATTCGTGCACGTTTATCTGTGGGTCGTTATTTAGTAGTCCCATTCATGGAACAACCTTTGTCAACAGCTGCCTATTTATTGAGACTATACTTACCAAAACGTTCAGAAAGCAAGTGAGTATTTACAATTGTTTCTCTATGTATCTTTACAGCCTACTTTTTACACGCTCGAACGGTTTTCTTTGAATTGGGTAACTGCTATATCCGGTTTATTGATTACTTTATTGTATTTATAACATTCCCAGCGGATGCCCGGCGCTCTTCACCGGGTTGACTGTCCATTGGATGACAGTCTAGGGGAGATGGCTAAACCCTGATTCCAAACCTCCAACGACTGGCATATGAAGCTCACCGGCAGACGTATGGACAAAGGGCTTATTGGATGCCCTGGATGTCTGGCCCCATTCAAAAAGGCGTATGAACCGGACTCCGGTCACCGGCTGCCAGTGGATGGTGGACTCCCTACTCCACTCCTACTGCCTTGTAGGTCACACTTGGTTGTGTAAAGGCTAGAGCTGCACTCTCAAACAAAGGCCGAGCGATGCTGGGGACATCACTCGTACCTAATTCCCATGAAACTTCATGGTTCATGAAACCGGCTCATCCTCCCGTAGGAGATAGCCGAAGTAAAGGTAAAGGTATTCCCAGCCAACAGTGGAGTTAGACGGGGTTGCCCGGTCTCTCCATTTCTCTTCATCTTTGCTGTTGTTAACATTTTGGAGTCAACGCCGAAGGATATGTGTGATGGTGGTGGTGTAGAGCTGCCTCCTGAAGAAAGACTTTCCAACCTCCACTATGCCGTCGCCAGTTGTTTTACTTCTGACTCAGTCTTACTCTACGTCTGTAAAGCGTGGTCTTTCCGAGCTGAAGATATGTTGCGACTCTGCTTATGCGATCATCGCTTTCTTCGTAGAACTACTTGCGTCCTATGGCATCATCGTACGAGTAATTTTGAGGTCCACTGGTGTGTGTGTTTACGCACGGTAGAGGTCACCATCCATTGAGTGTCGTTATTTGAGAAAACTGGCTTCGGTGGCTTGATCATGTGCTACGAATGTCACCTCACAGGCTTCCGTACCCGTGGCTGTTTGCTAACCTTGGGGCTGGATTGAAAAAGCAGACAGATGGTCAACCTATGATATGGTGTCGTGGATTGAAAGATATTTGTGTGTTAGATTAGCATCGATTGGTACATCACAACTTCCTGGTTGGGTTTCGAAAGATAGTTGAAATCAGTGGCTCGAAACATTATCAGATATAACCAAGAATCACAATTGATGAGGAGCATTCTGTAACTTCTCTCTTTCTTTCCTTTCTGAAAGTAATACACTAACAACAGAAGACAAGGGCCAGGCAGTAGATCCTTTATTGAGAAAATCAACAGATATTTATAGATTTTTATGCATATCATTATTAGCGTTATTGTTAGCAAAGAAGCAACGTCTTCTGATTGGTTGCTTTCTCACTGAAAGTTAACCTGTCATCTCTTTGTGGCCGTTTCTTAGAAAGTCAGGCCATATATGTGCGAATCGTATTTGCACACGTTAAGTCTGCTGTGATTGGTTGTTGAGTTCCTCAAGGTTAGGCTTTATTCGTGTTTTTTCGCATGACCCCGATTCGGGACGTAAACATTAACGTCAATTGTTGTTTACAGTTTTGTCTTGCAGACAATACGATTAATGCTGTTTGATCTTGTCAGATATACTTGCTTCCTTTTTACATGACATCCTGTATTCATTCTCTCCCTATTTTTGTTGTTGTTGTTGTGTGGCACATCTTCTTTGTGTCTATATTTTAGTAAACTTGTGTTATAAATAAATTTATTACAAGCCTTTTATGGGACTGATATCAAGTAATGCTCCATACCAAATAGTATGACAGAAGTGTAAAGCAGATGAAAAAGGGCGAGACTTTAAAAATAATAAACAAATGAGAGTATTCTGAAGTAATTTGATGGACAGTGACTAGCAGTGCGCATACGTGATTGAATGGAATTAATGTTGTTTAGAGGGTATCGTTTGAGTGTGTTTTGGTATTCGGTTGGATGTGGTTGTGTCTGAATGATTTCCAGGTGCATCTTTAGAAATTTATTTCGATTGGAACACCTTCTAAAAAAATGTATCTTTAATCTTCGTTACTTCAATCTTGACTGAGTAACAAAGGAAGGAAACTGCTCAGATAGTATAAAAACCACTGGGAAGATATTTACAAAAATTATCCACTCTGCTGAAGGCCTGTCTTTCGTAATAATGTCGTTAATAAGGGACAGCCTACACATCATTTCTGAACCATGTTTCATTGCATCTCGAAACTATTTACACAGTAACACTACTATATGCAGTCAGTCCCAAAATAAAGAATAATAATAGAACACAGATTCACCGAAGTGAGAGGGCAAAATCGGATGCCCGGCGCTCTTCGTCGGGCTGACTCTCCATTGGATGACAGTCTAGGGGAGATGGCTAAACCCTGATTCCAAACCTCCAACGACTGGCGTATGAAGCTCACCGGCAGACGTATGGACAAAGGGCTTATTGGATGCCCTGGATGTCTGGCCCCATTCAAAAAGGCGTATGAACCGGACTCCGGTCACCGGCTGCCAGTGGATGGTGGACTCCCTACTCCACTCCTACTGCCTTGTAGGTCACACTTGGTTGTGTAAAGGCTAGAGCTGCACTCTCAAACAAAGGCCGAGCGATGCTGGGGACATCACTCGTACCTAATTCCCATGAAACTTCATGAACTCTCTACAACATCAACCAAATTCCAGTACTGGTCCAACAACGTCGCCTTCGGTGGTTTGGCCATGTTCTGCGCCGACCAGATGACGATCTGGTCAAATCAGTTCTAAATCCCTCGCCGTTTCCATCTTGGCGATGTCGCAGGGGTGGGCAGCTGAAAGCATGGCTTGGTGCAGTCAAGGCTGATATGGAGTGCCTGGGGCTACAAACCGTCTACGGACTCCGTCTGTGGAACAAGAATTGGGTAACCCTGTCGCAAAACCTTGCATCAGATCGCCGCGCCTGGGCAGCGATGATTCGAGATGTTCATGAAGCCGGCTCATCCTCCCGTAGGAGATAGCCAAAGTAAAGAAAGAAGAAGACAGATTCGTAGAATATTTTAACTCAGATATGATAGAGAAAATTTGTAACTCAGGTGGATGATTTTGATGTGGTTGTGTTCTCTGAGCTGTATAGTTAATTTGCGCAAAAATTAACTATCCGTCTCGGAGAACACAACCACATGAAAATATTTCAACTCAGAATGACTGCCTCATAAGTATAGTTCGGAAGTGTATCATCAATGAGGTCTTGTAAATTCCCTCTCTCTCTCTCATACATTTATTCTCCTTAATGAATTTGAATAAAGCGATAACAACAGTGGTTTGTGTAGAATAAAATGATACCATCATTTATTTCGTTGGCTTCTCATCAGCTCAGCTGCTTACAACCCAAAGTCATTATTAAATACATCTACAAGAACAATTTTAACATACTTGCACAGAGTTCAGTTTTAGACAAAAATCAATCAATCACTATGTGCATACCGTAATAATATTAAACACTATTCCGAACAGTAATGATCATACACCATGGAAACTTTTCTGCATTACGTAATCCGACGAACGATAGAGTGAAAATATCTAGTTACCAGGTTCGAAAAGAAAGACTGATAACTACTTCTTTTTGAACGCATAAATCAGGTTTCAGGCGCTTGATGGAAATAGCTTCAGCAAACTTAAGGCGAATTGAACACTTTTACCTATATAAAACAATTAGTCCCTTTTATAAATTTTGATAGCGTTATTAGAAGACGGAGACTGTCTGAAAAATGTGATGTATTAGCGCTATACATTTCGAACAATCTGATCACACATTTACTTGTCAAGTCAATATATATAGAAAGGTTAAATTAAACAAAGTGAGAGAAAACGGAATTAAGAATAATTAACACAAAAGTTTGGTAATCCATCCAAATAAGGATTACCAAGGTAGGTTAAGAGTAATGACAAACTGTTTTTGAATACACAGGGGGGGCTTAAGTCTATGAATAGCTATAGCTTCAGCGTATTTCAGTAAACGCCCTTGACCGTTTTTATAGATGACCTTAAAGGCTGAGTTAACATCAATCTTATGGTTCATCTCGATTAGATGTTTAGCTATAGACGAATTTGGTATTAATATCAGTAAAAAGTTTGAGCATTGTGGATTAGATCAAATAAAGTATAACTATATTTCAATAGTTTACACACAATGATAAGTTTTGTTATTGGTAATTTTGCTCGAAATACATCACATTTTTCAGACAGTTTCCGTCTTCTAATAACGCTATCAAAACTTTTAGGTATTGATAATTTTGAATGATATCTGTTTAGGCAGATATATTCATGTCCAACCTTGAAAGAACAAATTTAAATGGTGCAATCGACGATGCAACTTGTGAATGTCGATATGTCCATAACACATTTGTAGTGGGCAACAATGAAACTTATGCTTCACACTTACTCAGATTATTCAATGATGCACACACCAATATTGAGTTTACTATGGAACATGAAAGTGATGGAAAGTTGCACTTCCTCGACATTGCCATGGAATGCCTAGAAGACGGTAGTCTTCAGAAGTCATTTTATCGAAAGCCTACATGGGAACGACAATACTTACATTTGAATAGCTATTGTCCAAATGGCTTAAACACGTACTAGTCAAGACTCTGTGCCATAGAGCGAGAAGAATATGCTCTATAGAGAGATTAGGGGAAGAATTCGAGTTTCTTGAAACGATATTGAACAGCAATGGGTACCCTCAAAGGTTCTTCAACAAGTATGGAAGATCTGAAGTCACAAATATAAAACAAATCACAGTCGGTAAAAAGCCAATCTACATTCGGCTTGATTTTAAATGTGAAAACATTGCAGCGATGATCAACAGAAGGCTGAGTACATCACTAGCCAGAGCCTATCCTGCAGCTTAGGTCATTCCCGTCTATCAAACAACTTGCACTTTGGTGCAGTCAAAAACCAATAGATATCCTTCTCATGTTAACTCCAACTAAATATGCAAATTTACATATATATCTCCGGGAGCAGTTACATTGGAAGGGCATATCTACGACTTTCTGAACATGTACCAAAAAGCTAAAAGTAACAAATGCTTTAAACAGTGCCATCGCCAAGCATTTACTCGACACGGGTCATGGGGTCGACGTCGAAAAGTCGTTCAAAATTATCAATAGGCAAAAGAGTTCAATTCGCCTCAAGTTTGCTGAAGCGATCTCCATCAAGCGCCTGAAACCTGATTTGTGCGTCCAGAAAGAAGTGGTTATCAATCTTTCTTTTCCAACCTGGTAACTGGATATTTTCATCTCTTTTTCATCTAAATGCATAATGCTGAAAAGTTTCCATTGTGTATGATTATTATTGTTCGGAATACTGTTTGATATTGCATATATATATTAGTGTATGCGTATATTGATCGGTTGATTTTTGTTTAAAACTGAACTCTGTGCAAGTATGTTAAAATTGTTTCTGTAGATGTACTTAATAATGACTTTGGCCTGTAAGCAGCTGAGCTGATGAGAAGCCAACGAAATAAACGATGGTAATATTTTCTTCTGCAAAAACTGTTGTTCTTGCTTTATGCAAACTCCCTCTCTCTCTATTCTGCACTGAACTCCCAGTTACTATGATGTTAAAGATGACTGATTGGTAAATTGATTGCATGGAGGATTTAATCATGAGCTGACATCAGTTAGAGAACTACTGGAAACCTGGGAGTACTGGACAGCTGTTTCGTCCTAGTTTAGGACTCTTCATCAGTACGCACCCACCGGGATTCGAACCCAGGACCTTCTGGTTACAAGGCGAGCTCGTAGACCATTGAGCCACTGGGACCCGATCCAATGGTCCTTGAATTCTAACTTCTGCGATTGGTAAATGACATTTTAGCGTTCAAAATGATATGCGCCTACTGTTCATGCTAAGCAAAAGGATTCCATAAAATCACGTTTTCGAAAAGTTTTGATCTACTTTCTTAGAATTTTCCCTTCATTCTCTTATTAAGCATTACATTTTATACTGATAAGAATGTGTTGCGTTTATCAGTGACCTCGTGGGTTATAACTCCTTTTCCCACAAATATTTTTGCCTGTTTGTGTCACATCATGCCTCAGAGACTTAAAAAATAAATCAATCAAAAAAATCATTCTTATGTCTTAACTGACTGACGAACACTGACCTGCACAAAATTGTATCAGTTCAGATCGCTGTACTTTGCAGTAACACATCTAAAAATGGAGAAAAGAAATTCCGGAAAAAGTAATTAGGTGAAGATTAGTCAGGATTTCCAGGGTCTAGATGATGGCAAAGAATGAATACATTTAACCCATCTGAGTTTCCAGTCATTAAGTTTTTAAGTGCCGAGAACCAAAATCATGAAGTCTGCACTTCTTTATGACCGAAATCTTCATGGATTTTATTCTCCGCATTGTTCTCACTACTTCTCTGACTCTTTTACAGTCCAATCCTATGTCACTTGACATTACTCGTCGTGGAAGGAGATGGCTTAGGTTGCGTAACATCTGAATCGATGTAGCTTTAGAGCCTCATCAATTGACTTACCGCCCTTACCCCTAACACTACGCTTAACCTCAATCTTTGAGTCTAATGAAACCCTCTCTCTCTCTCTCTCCCTCTGTCTAATTCCCAGACGCACCTTAGTTAGTCTGGATAACATGCTTGTCACCTGTGGTCTTGAACACCTCTGGGGTCATTTTATCTGGTGTAAGTGAAGTTTTCTTCTAAATCGACCGCCACCTACAACGCGCCTAATAATACTAACGACGGAAGCAGAACTACCAGTGAACATCGACCTCCCGACGAGAACAGAAGTCCTGAATGCAATCAAGATGCTAAAAGCTGGAAAATCAGCAGGGCCAGATGGAATCCCAGCAGAAGCATTGAAAATGGACCCAGAGACAACAGCGAACTTGATGATGCCATTACTGGAAAAGGTGTGGAAAGAAGGCAAAGTAAGTGCCCGAGGATTCGAAGAAAGGATACTTCTTCAAACTACCAAAGAAAGGAGACTTAAGTCAATGCAAAAACTGGCGTGGAATTATGCTTCTGTCCATCCCAAGCAAAATACTAAGCCGCATCATCCTGGAGAGAATAAAACAACCCCTGGATGAAACACTTCGACCGGAATAGGCTGGATTCAGGAGAAGCAAGTCATGTATTGATTAAATCGCCACACGACGGATCATCATTGAACAAAGTTTGGAATACAGAAAAAATCCCCATTTAGACATTTAGAAAACAGAAAGATTGAGCGAAGAAATACTTATTTACTTTTCAATTTTTTTTTCCTTCACGTTCCCAGTGGAACATAGGGCTTCAAGCTAGTGGCTTGAAGTTTCTGTAACAGTCTTTATTTTTATAGGATGAGGTTGCTAGCCTCATGCCCAACCTTTCCTCTCTACCGACAATTATTACTGGTTTGGTGAGGTAAAGGGAGTGCGTCGGTCGGGGATCGAACCCCGGACCATGTGCATGGTCGGCGAGTATCCTAACCACTATGCCACCGACGCACACTTTTCAATTAGAAGAGTAAATATTTCTTCGCTCAATCTTTCTGTTTTCTAAAAGCTTGGAATGGCAGTCACCTCTCTATCTCAACTTCTCCGACTTTTAAAAGGCCTTCGGCAGACAGTGTCAATCGAGAGGTGAATTGGCAACTACTTCGCTACTGCGAGGTGCCGCCGACAATCATACATCTCATCCAACAGTTGTACGACAATGCTGCATGTCAAGTAATCCACAACGGGAAACTTACGGAAGCCTTCGAAGTGAGGACGGGAGTGAGGCAAGGCTGTCTACTATCGCCAATGATTTTGCTGATTGCAGTAGATTGGATAATGCGACAGACAGGTGGCGGCGAGGAAACAGACATAAAATTGACCCACACAAAAAACTTGAAGGATCTGGATTTCGCCGATGATATATGTCTGATTTCCCACAAACTAGGAGATATGCAAGTGAAAAGCAACAAGTTGGCGGAAGAAGCATTAAAGATAGGACTTCACGTGAACATAGATAAAACAGAGGTGATGAAGATTCCTGGCCAACAACAGACAACGATTAGCCAGAATAAATGGAGGAACCTGAAAGAAACAACCTCCTTTACCTACCCACGTGGAAAGCATCGTTTCAACTACAGGCGGAACAGACGAGGATATCAAAGCAAGACAAACTTTCATTACTCTTAAGTCTGTGTGGAGGTCAACAGCACTCAGGATGAAAAATAAGATCCGGATTCTCAACTCCAATGTAAAGTCAGTGCTACTATACGGATCAGAGACTTGGCGAGTCACAAAGAGCATCTCAAACAAACTTCAGACCCTCATTAACAGTTGTTTTTGCTCAATACTCAAGATCAGATGGCTAGTCAGAAAAGATCAGCAACAGGGTGGGATCTCTGGCGATGAGTGGACCAACCAGGAACCGATTGTGAAACAAATAGGCAGGAAAAAAGGAGATGGATTGTCTGGGGAAACCATGAAGTGACATCACTAGACAAGCCATTGCTCGAGTGGAACGCGAAAGGGAAGCAGCGAGTTGATCGTCTGAGGGTGACTTGAAAGAGGTCATGTGAAGAGGAGATGAAAACATGTGAGCAGACTTGGAGCCAGGTGAAAACTCTAGCAGAGAACCGAACGCAATGGAGACGCGCAGTGAAGCCCCATGTTCCTCTAGGTATTAAAGGAAATAACAATATAAGTGAAGTCTTTGATCAATTTAAGTGTTGATTGTCTCTCTTTTTTTGCTCTGAATCGTGTTGTCTCCTGAACTTCTACAGTTTCACTTATTCATTGGAAGAAATATTCTGATCATTCTCCCCCGTTTCTTCTCCTGTAGAGAATATACTCTGGATATACCGCATAATGGTATTTTGGATTTCTTTTCTGGTAAACCAAAAGAAGCTGTCCGTCTACATATTCACAGTGCTACAAATCTTCTATGGCCTGATGGGAAAAATCCTCCATCACCGTATTGTATTATCAAGTGTGAAAATGAAACTGTACACACAACTATTTCACAAAGTAATAATAATCCTGTGTGGGATGAATACTTTATATTCTATCGTCGTAAATTGAATAAACCAATTGTAATCTGTGTGAGTCTATTGATTATTGAATTTGTACAGATCGATAAATTAGTTGAAATTTTTTTTTTCTTTTAATTTATAATTTTTAGTGTATTGATTTCATTTTTTTGTCATTTTTCTTTTTTTCTTTTCATTGTATAGTAATTTTAGTGTGTTTAGTAATTGCTGTACTTGTGTGTGTGTGTGTATGAGTTTGTGCGCGTACTTTTTCTAGTTTAATGTCGGCAACAAAGTAACCGACTTAAATGAGGGTTGCCGTTTTTTCAAAGGTGGACAGGTGTGTGGCAAAATTATCACCAGTGAAACCATTTCAGAGCGGAAGGGAAGGGAACACACACACACACACATATGTAGTAATCTCGATAAAGAAGTAAGGCTGAATATGGACCAAAATCAACCTCACCTCGTGAGAAAAAAAATACATAAACACTACTGTCAGTGAAACTAATGAAATTGAAACAGCTGTCCAGTACTCCCTGGTGGCTTTCCAGTGATTCTCTAACTGATGTCAATTCATGATGAAATCCTCCATGCAATCAAACAAAATTCCTACAAAACCAATACTTGAAAATTCATCTGGCGCTAACTAGTGACTGGCCCTATTCAGGTATGCAGTTACCTGGGTTCCAGTGGGAAGTCATGACCAGTAGGGTGCAGCAGGTTGAAGATGAGGCAGTAACTCATCAAAGAAGACAGTGCGAAATGGTCGCACTATGTCGTGAATTGGCAGAAGTTAGAATTCATGGACTAGCCATTGGATCGGGTCCCAGTGGCTCAATGGTCTACGAGCTAGCTCCCCTTGTAACCAAAAGATCTTAGGTTCGAACCCTGGTGATGGGTGCGTACTGCTGAGCAGTCCTGAACTAGGACGAAACATCTGTCCAGTACTCCCAGGTTTTCCAGTGGTTCTGTAACTGATGTGTCAGCTCGTGATGAAATCCTCCATGTAATGAAATTGACCCTAACTGACTTCACCGACTAGTTACCGAGGAATACTGTTGTTATCTTAGAATATGGGGGTGATATAGCTCCTCCCCTAGGTGAAGACGCTGATAGGATGCAGAGTCTTTTGAACACCTTGGATAAGAGAATTTTCGAACGTTTAACATGCGATTCGCTCATGTCGAATGTAATATGATGCTACAGAACTGGACTAAATCGACTACACTGGGCGTATTGACCACTTGACATATTCGGGACGTTGAATTACCCCCAATGTTCTGACACATCGGTGACAAAATCTCAGCAGGAATACAAAAGACTCGTGTGGGATTTGTCGGCTAACGTTATCCATGGCGTAAACGTGATATCCAACTAGCTACCAATCGAAGGAGAGCTCCAGTTCGCTTTGTCCTTCTTTATGTCTACGAGACATGCCTACTGAAATGTGAAGACATAAAAAGTCTAACTGTATTTGACTATAGACGTCTGCGCTCCATCTCACATGTTAGGTGGTATAATAGGGTGAGCAATATCGAGGTTAAGTGTCGAGTGTTAGGCAAAGAGGGGAAGTCGACCGATGCGACTGTGAAGCTACATCGATTGAGTTGGCTAGGACATGTGTTGTGCACTCCTAGACATCGCCTTCCTCGACAAGTGATTTCAGTAGACATGGAATCAGGTTGGAGAAGAGCTAGTTGTGGTCAAACCAAAACTTGGATTCATCAGTCAGTGTAATCTATGACAGTTAATTTAAGCTAACCACGTAGGGAGGTGTAATCTGTCTGGTTGGTGTCCTGAGGATTCTAAGAGCCACTGACTGGAGACAATTGGTGATATGGCTAGAAATCGTTCTGAATGGCTCACATGCATCCACTTATCAATGTTACTAATCTTTTCCCCTCATAATTTTGCTTACTATGTTACCTTTGAATCTCTTTTTTGTCCTCTCATGTCTTCTAAATGGAGTGTGGCAGGTTGAATTGCTGCACTTCTTGTAATATTCTGTGTCGAAACCAGTCAGTCACTTAGCCACTGAAATTACAGAACTCTGGCTGGAATCCCTATGTGGATGAAATCCACAACAGTTGGTCTAAGCCACGTAGAAAGGTGTAGACTTCCAGGCTGGGGTCCTCGGGACGGTAAAAATCGATGGTTGGAAACAATTGGTGACATGGCTCAAAATCGTTCTCAGTGGCACAGATGCATCCACTCCCTGTGACTTATGATCTTCAATGAAACTGTTTTGTATTTCCTTATTACTCCTTTGTCTCACACCTCTGCTCACTGTTTCTATTATGCTTTTCTTGTACTTTCTTCTCTTGCTTCGCGTGCTACACGGAATGTGGCGACTTGAACTTCCGCACATTTGTGCAAAGTTCTATGTCGAAAACAGACAGACAGACTCGAAACGCAGTGGTTCCGAATGTATGAAAAATAAATTGAACTTAATAGCTGCTAACTTCTAGTATGCTATGGAAACATAGTTTGTAGAATGTAATTCTGAGTAATATTTGTTCTAAAGTACAGAAGCTTAGCTCTGTGGTCAACAAGAAATTCGGAACTTTCAGTAATTAAAAACTAAGACCTGTTGTATAAGAAGTAGCGGAGTAACGATGGGTATGTTGGGTTTGACTCTCATTGCGAACACCATCACTTATTAGGGATATGAGTATATCCAGATGACGAGTCCCAAACAGGACGAAACGCCTGGATACCACTGCTAATCATCTTTATTTCGGACTGTTATTTTGATGTGTTCATTTTTTTTCTAATTTTTGTTTCACTGTATTCGTTTTACATTTCGAGTAGTGGAACACGGGGCTTCAAGCTACAGTTTTGAAATTTCTGTATCAGTGGTTTTACTATTACGGGGGAGGGGGGTGACTGCTAGCCTCATGCCTAACTTTCCCGCTGTACCGGAACTATCACCGGCTTAGCAAGAAGAATCGAACCTTAGACTAGATGTATGGTTGACTGGCGTTCTACGAAGAAAATTCAGATAACGTAGGGCTGCAAATCAGAATAGTTATAATTTACGTAGTTTTGTTAATCCTCACGCAGTACAAGATCTGGTTCTTGCTTTGATGCATGAATATACCTGCAGGATAATAAGAGATCGTTTTATTTCGTCTGGTCTTTTTAACTGCCTACCGCCTAAACAATATCATAATATCAAGTCACAAAATACTTTTTGAGCATACTTCGCCCACAGTGACGTTGTATTATTGAGAGAAAATAAAAGCAACATTATTGCAAAAATATGATGCAAGTAGTCCGTCCGGAGGAACGGACGAGGATGTCAAATCGAGCGAGAACTGGGAAGGCGAGAACACACACATTCATCAACCTGAAACCAATCTGAAAATCTTCGTCACTCAGCCAGCATCAACAACAAAATTCGGTAGGATTTTCAATACGAACTACGTCAAGTCAGTCACTTCTTCTATACGGATTGGATCAGAAACTTGGCGGGCGGGTCACAAAGAATATTTCCAACAGGCTATTGCAGACGAGACCTTTATCAACAACTAACTGTCTTCTCTCTATACTGAATGAAGATCAGATGGCCGGGCCAGAAAGAATCACCAACAAGAAACTCTGACTGGGAACAAACAAAACAAAACAAGAATCAGTCGCCCAACAACAAATGTGCAGGAGAAAGTGGAGATGGATTGGACACTCGCTCACTGAGGAGGCCGCTGGGTGATATCGCGCGCGCGTCAGACCATTGCTCGAATGGAAGCCGAAAGGGAAGCGGTGAGTGGGGCGTTAATGCGAGGTTGGGTGACATGGAGGAGATCGTGTGAAGAGGAGTTGAGACATTATGAACTAACATGGATGCAGTGCATCAGAAAAGTACATCAGAAGGAAGACAGAAGCAAGTGGAGACGTTCAGTTGAAGCCCCGTGTTGCACTAAGAACCCAAGGGAGCAATAATAATAATAGACAAATTACTTCACATAACTCTAATTCAAGGTTATTAAAGGTGGTGAAAGCACTTTGGATTAATCGCTTACATCCTAAACTATGTGTAAAAGAAAACAACAGTAGACTTCAACATTCTCCTACCATGGACTGGCTACTTGACCTATTTAAATATGATTGGTCGTTAGTATGTACTTTCGTTTTATATAACTGAGTAATTGTCAAGCATTTTATTTTATTATTATTGTGAACCATGATAGTTGCGAAGTGATTGTAGAGAAACTACGAAATGTGATATCATCTCGCGAAGTTTGTCTTCTAACTGCCTTATTCGAATTATTTAGTCTTAAAAAGGGGCTAACTGTGTATAGTATAATTAGACAAAAGGAGGGTAGAGTTCACATTTCGTCTAGAAACAAAGATTGTACAGAGACAGATTACAAGATCAGGTGAATTTATGCATATTATGATGGAGAATTCAAAAAAGTGACTGGGAGTGAACAGTAAAATTAGAATTATGAGGAAACAGGCAAGCAATTCAGTTAATTTTCGAAACTTTAATAGTGAATTCAATTCATTTATCATAACAAACCAACCATAGGAAATTAATCTGATGCTCGCTAGTGACTTGCTACAGGACGAAGTTTCCTGGACTTGTAGTGAGAAGTCGTGACCAGTGAGGTCCATCCAGTCCGGAAGTGAGAATGGATTTCCTACCGATGACATGGGTTGGTGGTCACGGTAAAATTCACGAATTGGTAAAAGTTAGAATTCATGAACTGGCCATTGAATCGGGTCCCAGTGGCTGATGAATGGTATACGAGCTTGCCTTGTCACCGGTAGATGCTGGGTTGAAACCCTTGTTGGTGGGTGAGTCCTGCCGATGATTACTAAAGTCTGTCTGTCTGTTTTCGACATAGAACTTTGCACAAATGTGCGGAAGTTCAAGTCGCCACATTCCGTGTAGCACGCGAAGCAAGAGAAGAAAGTACAAGAAAAGCATAATAGAAACAGTGAGCAGAGGTGTGAGACAAAGGAGTAATAAAGAAATACAAAACAGTTTCATTGAAGATCATAAGTCACAGGGAGTGGATGCATCTGCGCCACTGAGAACGATTTTGAGCCATGTCACCAATTGTTTC